AGGCTGCTTGTTTTCTTTTTGTTTTCGGACTGCCGACGAACCTTTTTAGTCCCAGTTCGGACGAAGTCCGAAAACGGGGATTATTAATTTGGGTTCCGTCCGTCCTTCTGGATCCATTTATCGGACAGCCTTTGACCGATCTCGTTCAAACTTGGTATACAGACAATCTATGATGACCTACATATGCCAATTTTCGTTACGATTCAATTAAATATGGCTGATTGGCAGCCATTTTGTCCCCCAAATTTGCTAAATTCTGATATTTAAACGTGAACAGAGCGATTTCAATCAAACTGTGTATGGTGATCATGCATATTGGGTTATTGGTGCACGTCACTTTTTTTCAAGATTCGGTCCAAAATGGCCGACTCACGGTCATTTCATTTTTTTTTTCATTTTTGTGCTGATTCCTCTGAAAGATATCACCTGATTCACTTGAAAGTTTTTACATAGTTACTATACTTCAAGACAATACAACACCATGTTTTGTTTAGAGATTTGATCAAATTTGACGAAATGGCGGTCATTTTGTTTAAATTCACAGTCTGTAACGTGTCTGGAACTGTTTCCCGAAGCTGAATAGGGCGATTTCAATCAAACTTTATATGACGATCATGTATATTGGGTTACACGTGCACATCATATTTTTTTCAAAATTTGGACCAAAATGGCCGACTGTTTTGTCTTGAGATTTGATCAAATTTGTCGAAATGGAGGCCACTTTGTCAAAAAACGTAAAATAGCAGTAAAATATCAAGTCTTTTCTATCTCCGTTGAAGATAATAAAAAATGTTGGATATGATGAACTCCTAAAAAAAAATTTGCAAGCAAACCTACTGATAAAAAAAAATTCCAAACACATAAAAAAAAAAAAAAAAATTTGCCTTTCACTGAGCTGACCTCCCCCCTCAAAAATCAAATGGTCCAACCCTAAGTCGAATGGAACTCTGGTCTTCTTATCTTGAATCCCATTCAACAACATGCGTATCAATAACAAATATACAAACACTTTCGGGTCTCCTCATCCAATGATATTATATTTTTAAGATGTACAAATTAAATGTGACGAAGAGAAAGGGTGGCGTCAGCAAATGGCAAATGTTACCAGTACCGTGAGGGGGCTAGAAGTTGAAACGACTCATAATTACACGAGATCACAGGGTTTTGCTACAAAACAGGTCTGTGTTTGACTTTATTTACAGAGAACGTCAAAGAAGGATCATAGGAAGAAAGTACTGGTGCCATGTAATATAAACGAATAGTTAAAATAAGGGACGCACCATTGCTTTTGCTGAACCGGGCGGATTTTTTGTTGTTGTATATACTTTTACTTTGTCTCCCATTAAGTTGGTCTCTGCACATTCTTCTCAACACCAGCGCAAAGTGTGGTCTGCTAGAACCAGTATTGGGCTGAACAGTCTACTGAAAATAGAAATATGTAAATTAAAGAGAGATTAAACAGATTTTTGTCAGAGTTGTCAAAATCCATTGCACCTTATCCAGTTGCCTATTTAAATCGATCGATTTAGGGCGCTCTATGAATGTTAATTCATTTCAGTGACAGACTTTTAGTAAAATAAACTTTGTGTTCGTTATTGTAGAAGTGTGCATTTAAAATATGCTGAATTATTGAGAAATTGTAAATTTGACATTTTTACCCCAGTAATCATGGAGGAGTCACCTCTGACACCATTCATACCATTCAACGCTAGGTTATTGCTTCTCAGACAACATCAGTGTCTTGCAAAACTTTCCTTTTTAAAAGCCCTACCACAACTATGCTGTCGATTATCTGTTGAATACCTTCAAATATATCTTTTCATCTTTACTGTGCAACCATTACATACACAGTAATCATTCATTCGAACCCACCTGCCATCACAAACAACTGTTCTACTTTAAAGACTACCCAATCGCTTTAACTGAAATTGATTCTTGTTTACATAGGATTGTTTTTCCACTCTAGTTGACCTGCCTTCTCTGACAATGTTATTGTCGTTCGAAACATAGCTTGTTGAGAAGCCTTTCATAATAACCCATTCTTCTTTTGCTACTTTTTCTTGTGCTTTATTTTAAACGTTTGTTTCGAACTGAACTTCACTGGCAATTTACCCGCATTTCAAGTAACTTATCCCACTCTTCCAATTGATTTTTCCTACTAATAAAGAAATTGTTATCCCGTTTATCCGTTGTCGCCTTCTATACAGGATTTCAACCTTTGAAAAAAGTCGACATGTAAATTATCTGTTGCCCACCACTTTTATACTTTTCCAAAAATCAGTCTGGGGCTCTCGAACAAAAAGTTATATATTTTCAAACTACAACACACAACAAAGCTAGGTCATGGTCAACTAGAGTTCAAATAGCGAAATAAGCATATATAAATATATACATGTGTACATAGATAACAGTAGATAAACTATCTGGTAAACAAGGGATCCACCTACCATTTGAATCACAGTTGTCTCTGTGTAAAAACTGTGATACTCATTGCAGGTGGCGGCATTTATGTTGATACAGCGTTGGATTGTGTTCTCATCGCTGGAAAAATAATATTTATAATACCACGTGCTACTATGAATATATACTACGTATGTGCGACATTGGTCGTGCAGTTCCTCACTCTAGGTTGGTGGATTTTGTTTCTAGCGTAAGTTAGATTTTGGAATAAAAATTCTATAATTAGTAGGTCAACTTTAATTGCATCCATAAACTCTTTCACTCAGTAACATGACATGCTGAATGTATTATACAGTATTCAATGTGCTATCGTCTAAGTAGTTTAGAAT